TTTAGATCCGCTGTAGATATTTAGCTGACCTCTCAGGGTCAACTGTCTGTCAATTCTAAGAACGTTAATTTCCTGGTTAAGGGAAATAACTTTCTTACTGTACAATTCTACAAAGAGCTTGTAGCATAAATCTGCATGATTAAGTGACTCCAATTATGAGCAAACAATGAACCACGTCAAGTGTGATACAAGTAAGGTTTTATTAACTACATAAACACTTAAACTGGTCTAACATACTACATAAACACATAAACTGGTCTAACATACTACATAAACTGGTCTAATACACACACACAGTTTGTATAGGAAAGGGTTAAAGCTTAACCCTTTAAAGAGAAGAGAAATAAGAACATGAAGTTATTGAACCATTTAGCAGATTTGCAGATTTACACCTGAGGGAAACATCAGATTCTTAGTGACTAAGTTTGGATACTTGCAAGTCTCATCTGTAAGGCTTGATGGTCGCTGCAGAAAACAAAAAAAATTGAACAATAACAAAAACTGGAAATGTTGCTGGAGACCAAGGTTATTATAGTTTAGCATTTTTAAATGAGTTTTATTTTAATATCATTTGCAAATTTGCAATAAAATGTAGTTTCGTTTTTATTAGTTTCATTAATAATTTTGTTAGTTTTAGTTTAGTTTTTATTTTGTGAACACATTTCTATTTAGTTTTTATATAGTTTAGTTTCAGTTTTAGTTTTAGTAATTAAAGTTGATTAGATTTAACAGATCACTTCCAGAGCGCAGGCCAAAGAAAGACTTTAATCTTAGTGTAAGCATTAATTGTCTGATATTTCTTATTGGTTTTTCATGGTCACGTGGGCACAGGTGATCACTCCCGTTTTTCTTTTTGTCGGATTGTTTGAGAGGTTGGAAGGGGCGAGGAGTGGGAGCCAACTTTCTGTTGACCGTATTGCATTGGTCTAATGTTTCATGTGCTTTAATAAAATTAAAAGGTAAGTTAAGATCGTCATTCTTCCTTTGATGAGATAACCAAATGCGAACGAGTCACGAGCCCACTACCTAGCCTCTATGTGGCGATTGGATGCCGCTAATACTTAGTGATGCAAACGTCTAGCGACACCAAAGTAAAGCATGCTGAGATTGATTGGATGGTAAAAGTATACAAATACACACCAACATG